GAAAGACTTGTCAAAGGTCAGTGTAACCTGGCTGTGTTGATGGCCTAATTTCTCTTTGTGGCTGGAGATTTTGGAACCTCAGTCTCTCCTCGGATGACTTGTTAACCTAAACAGTGAGGCTTCTGGGCCATGTATTGATTCTTATAAACTGTGAGCTTCTGTTACTCAGCTTTGCAGCCTCTTCCTCCAGGGTCTTCAACACATTCAGCTGAGAGAGAGACCTGTTTGAGCTATACATCTTGGTCTAGTCAGGATCAAGGGAGGTCATCCTCAATAAAAACACCGTGGTTTTTTTTTTCAAGTTGGTGCTGTTTATAAGTTAAAATACTAGATCTTCAACCTGCCAGGGAGTTCAGGCTTATAACGTGCCTTTACCTGAGACTATTTCTGAGGAAGTTGGCTGGGTCTTAGATGGGTGATTCTGTTGCTGGTGCATATTGGGTTTAATATAAATACCTTAGAAATATGGTTGAATCTAGTAAACCGTGACAATAAAATCAGATTTTAAAAAATATTTATCAATACAAATTTACTCAATGTTGTTCAAGGCAAGTTTCTTTGTGTGCAAATCTTTACTTCCCCCTCACTCGCACATTGAAACAAGGCATTTGAAGACACTTTTTGACTTTCTGGAGCTGGGTTATGAATAAAAATGGCTGATGTTCATCTCTACAGAACTTTACAGGGAAAAGTTACTTAAAGGCTTGCTTTTGTGAATGCAACTTCTTGTCCTCTATTCTCCTCCTGTATTTGTTCCTCCTTAGCACCAAAATACCTATTTATGCGTAACTATTTTACTTTAGCTAATCAGAGAAATTGGTGGCATAAATGTGAAGAAGAATGAGCCTCCACTCACCTGCCCATACAGCCTGAAAGCCAGAGTTCTGCTGTTGACTCATCTTGCCAGGATGAAAGTTCCTGAGGTCCTTGAAGAAGGTAATGGCTTCTCCTCTAATCGGATATTGTTGGAAATGGAGCAACACATTGCATGTTACAATACTTGTAATTCTTATCCGTTAAAGGGTTGCATGAATCTCTGCTCAATGATCTCTATGCAGTGTGCTTAGTTTTTCAACTTTAATGACTCTTTAAAAGCATTTACTTAGCATTTACTCATTCTCTTGACAGCTCTGTAATACTGATATCCTACTTTTTAATACTTTTTGGCTGCAAATGTGACTGATAATTTTTTTTCTCTTTGTAATAGAATAAAAAGTTAAACATGTGAAGTATTTGCTTTTCAGAGTAAAGAAATCCAAGATAAGCATAATATTGCTGTCTATAACATTTCCATGCATGGTTATTTTTGGAGTTTTTTAGCCTACTATGTGAAGCAAAGATGACAAGATTAGAACTTTAAATATCAGTTACATACGAGCTTCAGTTTGTGTTTTGCAATTTTTCATACTTCTAAATATACAAACTGAAATGTTTCTAAATGCAGTTCTTGAGTTTCAGCCATGAAACTCAGTTTTTTAAACTGACCAGCAGACTTGAGATGTTCTGTATTTTAATGCAAATTAAAAAAAAAAACAAACCACAAAGACCAAACAACAAACCAATGAAGATACTTTGGTTCAAATTTTCCAGTTTCTTTCAAAAGAAAATTGATAATTTTTAAATAGTTACTAAAAATCTTTTTCCTTGCTACTTAGTTACTGTTTGTACTTACAACTTCACAGATCTGTATTCAAAAGTAGTTAGTACCTTACAAATAATGTTCTTCCCAAACCAGTATTACACTTAAAATTAAAAATCCTTTTTTTTAATCTGTGATTATCTAAAGAATTCATGCCATTTTAATAAGACTGGTAAATTGTCCATGCCATCCTATTGCTTTTTCAGATGGATCTAATAAGTACTTTGTAATTTGGTGTGGAAGCTACTTGTCTGGTATACAAAATTTGTGTTCCCTCTTAGTGCTTGCTCTTTCCTGTTTTGTTCGGGGATGTTACAGATGGGTGTGTCAATGAGAATAAAGTGGTATTTTCAATAATACAAGAATGAATAGAAATGAAGACCACACCATTAAATGTTCAGTTCACGTAAACTGTCTCCTTTTTGCAGCATAATTGTAGCCAGTTATGTCTTGCAGATCAGCAGTTTATCCTGAAGAAGAGTCCTGCATTACTTCAAGAAATGATTAATGTGATCTGCCAACTAATAATAATGGCTCGAAGCCGGGAAGGTAAGAAAAGAAGCTGTATAATTAAAACTAGTAAATATGATTCTTCATTGCAAAACTTCATAGAGTCTTCAGTTCTTTTTGGAAACTTAACCTGTGATATTTAGAAATGCCTAAATGCACTTCTGCTCTTCTTACTGTAATGAGAGAGTTCTCTATTTTGAGGATTGAAATGCTGCTGCCTCTGCCAAGCTGTACTCTGAAATCTTCAGTATGTGTGTTCAGCTTGTAATTTTTGCAATTAAAAGTTTCTCATTAAATGCAATTGAAAACCTTTTCTTAAAGATCTGGTCCATTTTCGATAGCAAAGCACTTGGTAAGTGCTTGGTAAGTACGACAAACTGAACCTTGTGTTCATCTTTTCATTTGCTCTTTTCCAGTTCTTCCTCTCCTTTTATGACTGCCACTTGTTTTTTTTTGGGTCATTTCTTTGTCACCGTTTCTTTGTATGTTGCTCATATTTTGCCATTTCAAGATCCTATGCTGTTTAGCCTGCCTTAGGGTTTTTTTCTAAACTTGTGGGGGCAGATGCTTTGCCATAATTGCTGTAGAAATTACAATTTAATTGAAATGTAATATTTAAGCTTTTTTATTTTTACTGTAAAAAGGCAATTACGCTGAAGATGGTTGCTTGCAGTGCAAAAACCAAAGACTTGGATCTCATTCCTTTATTGCAACAAACATAGGCAAGGCATATTTTTATGCCAAATTCGTAACCATTTTGTTTGCTATCAAATAATACTTATTGGTTTATCTTTACTCGACCAAAACTCCTTTAACAAGCATTAATAGCCTCCTAGCAAGAATGGTTTGGGGGAAGTACTTTCCCAGTACTATTGCGAGTGGTGCTGGAAATTGTGCTCCATAACCAAATAAAGTATGAGGGGGGACGTGTGAGCAGATAAGGATGTTGTGTACTGCCTTACGTACTGCTTTGAAATTCCAGAAAATTCAGATTTTTAGCTTAAATTAAAATAAAATTAAACAGTATTTTGGAAGACAGTAGTGTAAACTGATAGTCCATTTGCATGTGAAATGGCAATGATGGTTATTAAAAAAGCAAACCTAAATAACCTCTACTACTAACAATTGCTAGAGATTATCATGATCCCTTCCAACCTCAATGAGTCTGAGAAAGTGGATGAGAATTTATAGCTGTCATTATGTATGGCAGAAGTTACTTCCATAGATTTGAAAAAGAAGTAGTGTATCCCAGGTATAGTTGAGGATTTGTTTGATATTTCTTTAGCAGGTTTTCATAGACTTATAGAGTGGTTTAGGTTGGAAGGGACCTCAAAGATCATCTAGTTCCAACCCCCCTGCCATGGGCAGGGACACCCTCCACTAGACCAGGGTGCCCAAAGCCCCATCCAACCTGGCCTTGAACACTTCCAGGGAGGGGGCATCCACAGCTTCTCTGGGCAACCTGTGCCAGTGCCTCACCACCCTCACAGTGAAGAATTTTTTCATTATATGTAATCTAAGTCTTCTACCCTTTCTCAAAATTATTTTCAAAGTTTTAAAATGTCAGTATTCAGAAATTTGAACCAAACACTTCCTCTCACTTCCATGCCAGTGCTCTCAGTACAAAGCATTAAAGGGAAGGTGATACCAGACTGTTGCCTATCAGGCCAACAATAATGAATTTGAGGACTTGAAGGTAAACGGTTTCAGAATTTTGGCCTTTCATCACCAGGAAAATCACCATTTTTGCTACTTATCACTTAGCAAATTTAAAATACTGGCCGTATTTTTGATGACTGTACATGTAGAGAGGATTTTGCCCCCTGCTGACTGCTATTGGGAAACAACTGGAGATTGAAAAGATGTTATTGGTGGTTTTGGTGTTTTGTTTGTGGTTTTTTTTTTAAAGATGCGAGTAAAATTAAAGTTAGGTATTGACATTTTTGAGAGACTGTTTTCATTTAATTTTGTGTATTTGTCATCTTAATGTAATTTTAATTAGCTCAAAACTTAACTACAGATGTTTCTGGGTTTAGTTTTAACTTTTACTTTTAATTTTCACTTAAATCAGCCTTAGCATGGTCCATAAAATTAATCGCATGCTATAATTAGCCATAGATGTTCAGCAGTCTTGATCTGTGAAAATACAAAGATGATGGCTTACATTAATACTATCTAAGGAAATATTTTTGGGATGAATCTTATTTTGTGAAACCTAAATTGGTGGTGGGATGAGGAGTCTCATTTTGTGCTGCATTCATTTATCTCTTTCAAATATCCATTATTATTGTTATTGTTCTTATTACTAGCTTAAAAATATCTGTAACCATTTATATTTGTACTTTGTAATCACGTCTTTTGAGGAAAAGCACCTTGGATGAATCTTCAGAATCTTGGCACTTTGTTTTCCTAGTTAATTTTAGAAATGTCTACATAGCATTCAACTATGGGTCCAGTATCAGCTGTTCTTGAAGGAGATGCAAGACTGAGAAACAGTAAGGACAGAACATCACAGAATGAGATTTATGAAGTTCTGCTGCCTGAGCCCTTCACAGGGACAAGCATCCCACCTCCCCAGAGAGCAAAAAGTGGTGCCTCAGGCTGCTTGGGCATCCCCATAAGTCATGGACGCTTCCTTTCTTATCAAACCCTATGAGAAACAATTTTAGTGTAGGTTTGGCATAAAAATCATTTAATCGTGCTTACTTCTTAATTTTTAACAGACCTATCATACTTTGCACATGAGTTTGGATTTGTTATTATTTGGATTTGTTATTTGCAAGGAACAGTTTTAATCTGCTTTCATCAAAACAGAATTGATACTATTTTCTTTTCAATCCAGTCAGTTTTTATTTACTGCTAAGCTTTTTCCAGCCTGCTGGAAAATGTGGCAATTGTGAGCTACCTTCAGATAAAATGTCTTGTACTGTCTTGCTTGACTTCTGCATAGTCTGTGAGACTTTCTTTTTATGTGCAGCTCCCTGAAAATACGCTTCGCTCTGTGGCATCCCTTGCTTACATCCATTGTTTTGTGACGATCAACTGGTAGTTGATAATTAGCAGGTCTAAATTATTTTGATGGCTTCTTCGAGATCATCCTTAGGTATCATAAGCATATAGCTGCCCTGCCAAGTGAGGTGTTTGCTGCCAAAACCATGGAATGTGCTGTCATAACTGTCTGCAGGAAAGTTAGGTGTCAGTTCAGCCGTCCAGCCCAAGTGCAATTCTTAATCCAGGTTGGAGGCTGCAGTGCAATGTACATAAAGGTTGTGGTTTGACCCAGGTGTATACCATTCCTTCATAAGCAACTCTGATTTGGATTTAAATTTACTTTAATGTCAAATTTAATGTCATATGTTTTGGGTGACTTTATGACCTTAAATTAAAGGTCATCTTGTCTTGTGTACTTTGACAAGCAGAAGCTGTCAAAGTATGTGCAGTAATGGCATTCATTTTATGGTGGGGGCAATTGGGTGGTGTTAAAATCTATACTGTCCTCAGATCCGCTCTCGGAGGAGTATAAAGTCCTGTATCATTTTCAGGAAACCAAAATAATATTACCCAGCTTTGTTAAAATATTTTACTACTGCCATATGGATGATGGGTTAATGCTTTAAGAAAGAGAAGAATTTCTACTCTGACTAGTGCTCTGTAGTCTCAAAGCTCTAGGTGAATTTCTTGCAAAAGCCAGTTTGTCAGGCGATATTTAGGATTCCTCTATTAACTTGGTTTGCAGCGTGAGGTGGTTTTAATTTAAAAAATCCTGTGACATTCCTTAGCAGCAGCCAAAAAAATTACAGGGGAAGTGGAAGAGAGGTAAGATGGAAAGTAAATTTTGTGCTATTTAGTTGGGAGATTAGTCGTTCCGTCACCTTTTTCTTTTTTTTTGAAAGGTAGAAGTTATGTCTTTACTACCTATCAGTATGTCTAGCCAGATAGTTCCATTCATGAGTTATTTTTCTCTTTGCATTGCATATATAGTCTTCACACTGTTTATTAATATTCTGAAATGAGTTTTCTAAACAGGGTTTTGAGAAGTCTTATTTATGAATGTATGGTTGTCTAAGAGTTAAAAAGCAGTATGTGGAAACCTGTCTGCTTTGTTTTTTCATTTCTTTGCAAACATGATGAAGAGTATTAAATGACTTTTTGCTTTGCTCTGTTCTGTTTAAGGCTTTTTCTTGTCTATCTTTTAGTGATTTTATTTACATAGAGTGTATATACCTCTGTACTTTAAAACATTTCTGAAAGAAAAGTTGAATAGATGTTTGTTCAGACACCACTTTTAACCTTTAGATTTAGTTTTAAAGGCATGCCTTTGATATTTTTACAGCTCTTCTTACTGCCTTCTAACATAATATGCTCTGCTTAGCTTCAGTTATACCTACATTTTTTTCTTGCATGTAATAGGCTGCCACCTTTATCCCTCAAGATGAAAATCTTATAAATAATGTATTGTGTTGTTAAAGAGTAATGTCTACTGATAAACTATAAGGATATGCTTACAAAGTAAGAGCTAAACACATTATATATGTTGTACAAATTTAAATAAGTTTGGTTTGATGCTTAATTTAAAAAAAAAAAACAAAACCTAACAACTTAAGTGGTGATGTTTTTGTCTCAAATAATTGCATAGATACATTGTGCTGCTGTTCCCTGAGACAATGTTAGATGGAAGTCTTTCCCTTTCTTAAGAGTTCAGCTATGATAGCCTAAATAGAGGGAAGAAAATATCTGCTGAGCTGTGTGACTGCAATGAGAGCAAAAAGTCTGCCTGGTTAATTATGCTGCACACTTTAAGATGCCTCTTTCTTTTGCTTGATTGAAAACATGATTTTCTGTAGTCTGTAACACAAGTATACATTGTAAAAGCGTAACAAGAAAAAAAATTAAAAATTATGTCTTCTGTTTCATTCTCCCCAAGAAAGGGAGTTCCGTGCTCCATCTTTGGGATCTTTGGAAAATTGCATGAAGCTTTCCCAGATGACTGTCCAGGGACTTCAGCAGTTCAAGTCCCCCCTTTTGCAGCTGCCTCACATTGAAGAGGACAACCTTAGGCGGGTCTCCAATCATAAAAAGGTATAAAACTGTAAACGATACTTGTTAACATCTGAAAACATTTTCTGTTACTTCTTTTACCTGTTTGCCTATAAGGAAGCAAGGTCATGAATTAACTAGGAGAATAAAAAGATACTTCTTTTTTTCAGGAATGCAATACGATACTTCCTAGGTCTGTGTTTCTTTAAAGTCCCTCTCAGGAGGTGGGAATTGAGATCAGAGATCTTCTAAGTGTAGAAGACTGTAAAAGATCAGTCTACACTGACCTCACAAACAGAAGAAACAGCTTCCTCCTTACAGAGTACTGTCTCCTATTTAATATAACATTTTCCCAGAATATAGCTGGAATATCCTACTGGGAATTTTTTTCCTTGTTTGTCTTTACATCAATCTTAATCTAGTTTGGTAGAAAATATATTTGGAAGGTAGCACAGAGAAGTTCCTAAAAGGAAAAAAATAATCAATTACTGTGGGAAGTATTTCAGAATTTGTGATCCTTTACGTATGAAAGAGGATGCATTAAAAGGCTATTGCTGTGTACTTGTAGTTGGATAAGTGTTGGTGTTTGTAGAATTTAAGGACAAAAAGTAATAGTCTTCTCTGAATACCTGCATGCGTGTCTTCACTGTTGTTGCACGGACTGTATCTCTGTATTCAAACCTGCTTGTTTGTTTCACTGTAGTGTATCTTCTAGGAAAACTTGGTTAGAGACAAGCAGTTGTCTTGTAGTAGAAGCTGATGACTTTTGTGATAGTCTTACTACAGTGGTTAATTCTTATCAATCTTAAAAAATATTCTTTTTATCTAATTGAAGTTTTGTTTAACTTTAACTACAGCTTTAGATGGTGTTTAAATGTTTCTGTGTTAATGTGAGGATAAAGAATACTTGAGTACTGCATTTTTTTTAGTCCACTTTGAAGATATTTATTCATCAAATAGTCAAGTAGTCTTTTCTTGTGGTTGAAGTAAAAGAATAATTCTCCTGTAGGTATTGTCAAACAGTTACTTTTCTTAATCCAGCCCTAAACTACAGGGAGCATACAAAAAAAGCACACCATTTTAGATGTATTTTTTTGCATGTGCAGTGTAACGAAGTACAGCAATCAAGCATTTGGCTGTCTCATAACCTCACCTGTCCTTCCTCTGAAAGAGGGATGAGACCAGTTTATTAGGTTGGTTTGTACAGGATTCCCATTGATCAAAATTTTAAAAAATATAGACCCCTAGGGTGGAGGTATGATCAGTCTACCTAGATACGTGAAGCTGTTTTAAATAAAATATGCACTTCTCTAATGGGCTGAAGTAATCAAGTGTTCAGACAAATCTGTGTTTCTTTTATTGTTTTCACTCTGCTCTTCAGATCTTAAAAGAAATGGTTTTAGTGTTGTTTGCAATTCAGTATTGAAAAAGAAAAGTAACTTACATGTTCCTCCTGATATAAATCTCAAAGCACTGCAGTACTCTAAATAAAGAACCCATTTAGTAAAATTTCTTGGCTCAGCTTTTTGAAAAAGCTGGCTGAAGTAATCGTTTTATAAGAAATGCATTCAGTTTTTCTAAGAGGTGGCAGAGCACTTCTTTGAACAGTGGGGTGTTCCATACTATTTAGCAGGTTTGAATGCATCCTCTTTGTTTCATTGTTTCTCAGAACATATGCTTGCTAGTTTCCTAAAGTATGGTTTTTATAAGAACAAATCAAATGGTGTGTATGTATTAGTAATGTGGGAACACAAGTGATGTATTATCAAGAGTTTATTTGCAGACTGTGTTCTCTGCTACCATATGACTTCCTTTTTCTTTTTTCTTTTTTTTTTTTAAATTCAGTATAAAATCAAAAGTATTCAGGATTTGGTGAGTTTGAAAGGTTCTGATCGTCGCAATTTACTGCATTTCCTAGAAGATAAGAAATATGAAGAAGTTATGGCTGTCCTTGGCAGCTTTCCGTATGTCACTATGGATATAAAACCACAGGGTGAGTGGGAGGTCCTTTTGTTCTGTATATGTCGCTCTTCTGACATTTTGATAGTCTGTTGGCAGTAAGCTTTTGGAGGACGCTGAAACACAACTCACTGTTATTTATGTGGCCTGGAAATGACATACTTTTTTGAGTGGCGGGCTCTTGTACATGAGATTTATAGTCTGAGGAGATAAAGTACATTGAAACATTTCACAGATTCCCCAGCCAGCAGTACTTTCTCCTGCAGGAACTTATCTGATATTTCATCCGTTGATTTAATATTTCATGAGCAATGTGGAATTCTGCTTGAAATACCACTTTTATTAGCTATCTTAAAAAGTTGTGCTTATTCCAGAATTTATGCTCCGGTTACTCCAGCATGGAGAGTCCTTTGTGAGATTTTGAGTTGGAGACCCTGATGACTAAATATTCATGGGTTCCTCTGTGATAATTGTTGTATGTTTTTTATATCTGGCAGAATTTGTCCGTGCTATGCTTAGCTGCCTTTTGTATGCACTGTTTCCATGAATGTATAATGCTCTTCCTCTCTGAAGAGTACGTATGTTATTAAGCAGTTCCTGTTAGGCACCCTTTCAGTGGAAAGTGAATTGGTTTTGCGGTCTCCTTTCCTTTGTAGATGATCAGCACTAGTAAATGTGAGATATTTGAAAAGTTGTTCTAATACTTGTTTTGAGTTTATATTGGCTGCAATGATCAAATTCAAAATGTGGGATGTTTTGTTTGGGTAGCCTAACTTGTAATTAGGCTTATGCATAGTCATCTGTGAAGCAAATGTTAATGGAAATATCCATTAAAGAAGCAAAAGTCTGTTAAGCTTGGTATTTCTAAATGTTGTTTATGTGTGTTTTTAAAAACAATTGAAAAAAAAAGACTTTATCTTCTTGTAGCACAAGATTGTACGCAGTCCTGTTAATCTGCTTAAAATTTAGTCTTGGAGTATCTTCCCTTATTTTGGCAAGCAATCCTTTTCTGCCTGTAGTTGTCATTTGTCACAGAACTGTACTCAGGTGTGATATGGAGGATTAAACAATGCATATGCTTTTCTACTTAGCTCGATATTACCATTATATAAAAGATATGTGTATAAACTAGTGAATAGTAAAACTGCTTTCTTGGGGGCGGGGGTGGTGGCAGTGAGGGAAGTCCACACTGGGATATAACTCTTCCTCCCCAACCTGGGACATTCTCCAGTTCATGGACTGGAGGTATAAACTCCTCAGTGGCTTTCCCGTGGGTTTTATGTTGGATGTTTTAGTTAAAATAATCATTACTGTTCTTTTATTTTCCTTTGCCTTCTACTTAAAAAAGAATTAAATGCATAATTGTTAATGTGGCATTGAAATTGAGTTATTAATCATATGAAAGTCAGGAAAATCAAAGTTATGATTCCCAGAACAAATATAACAGGGTCCCTTTGGTCATGTGTGGTATTTCATGTTTCTGAAGCTTTAATATATAATGTGCAATATTACAGAGTTATGGTTCCCACAGCAGCTATAACTTTGAATTTTCTAACTTTCATGCAATTAAAATTTCAAACTCAATGTTGCTGTTTTATAGTTTGCTGAATTACCAGCCCTCATCCTGATAGTATATTTGGGGTTATAAGAGTTATTTAATACTATTTTGAAATTGTTTTTTGTTAAAAATTCTGAAATGTGTATGCTTACATTTAGACATAACAGAAACAATGTTTAATGGAAAAAAAGGCTTGAGAGAAGTTTAATAGATGTGTTGCTTTTCTTTTTACACTAGTTTTGGATGATGAAGACAGCAACAATATTACCGTAGGTTCTCTTGTCACTGTTCTGGTCACACTGACAAGACAGACCATGGCAGTAAGTATTAAGAATAATTGTTCTTTCAGGGTAATTGCAAGTATATGCTAATAAATAGGCATGCTGCTTTTCAAGCTCACATAGTGTTTTGTAAATAAAACTGTAAAATTAAGATTTGAAATTGAGAACTTGTGCACCTAATCCTCCCTTATGTTTTTGTTTCTGAATGAGAAAGTTTTCCTGGAATCAAACCAAAGTTCAGTCTGACTCCTTGCAGTTGTCTAGGGAACAGTAAAATAATATGGCAAGTGATACTGCCCTGAGGTTTGTAAATAACAGGAAAAGAGACATTCAGAAACTTAGTTTTTGAACTAGAATAAAGTGTTCACTCAAGTCCTTAGGATAGTGTTTGATTTCACTTTATGTGGGCTCATAATGTTACAAATCTCTTGGGTATTTTAGACACTTTTATGAAAGAAACTCAGTCCAGGAGAATGCAGAATATACGTAACATAATACAAAGGAAGTACAGCAGTGCCACGTGAAGGAAGTGGACTGCTGAATGGGTAGCAGTGTGGCATAACCAAAATAATACTACACCCTAGTAGTTAAACTTCTGACCTGTTCTTATTTTTTAGCTTAAAATGTAGTAATGACTTTCTTTAAACAAAAAAACTTAAATGCACAGAAACTAAACAAACTTTAACCTGACAAAGCCTGCAGTGTCAATTTTTGCATCTGTACTATTCAGATAATTGTCTAAGTAAATGGAAAGCCTTGAGTTATGCTTCTAAGGTAAGGCCTACAAGCATGGGTGTTACAGTTGAGGATCAGATTAGCCATTGAAGCCAGTTCAGCAGAAAGCAGTCTGTAGATACAAGTACCATGTGTTCATGCTATGGAATTCCAGAACGCACCATCTTGATGACTGAGGATGCAGCAGGTAGAGAGTGAAAGCACTGTATTGCTATGCTGGACCTTAAAAATGAAGGAAACTGAAAATTGGCATAGTGAACTGTACTTAGAAATTAATTAAAACATCTGACAGCATACAGAAAACTCATCTAACATGTTTTCTACATGAACTCCACTAGGCAGTCTGGCATTGAGATACATGACCTACAAACTAGAGCTAGCTTTTTATATGATGCTTTTTCTTGTGGTGGTATCTCATATTTGCCATCTTTATACCAGACAGCTCTTTATGACTGATTTTTTTTTTAATGGCATATAGTATGTTTTGAAGAAATGCATGAAAGAAATTCTATTTGTATCGACACATTCTAGTCTACATTTCATATTTCTTGTTTGATTTGTTGTCCTGTGTCCCTGAGTAGCAGTGCAGCTGTTGAAGTTTATAATGCTCTGGCAACTGGAGCAAAATTTGCATTTTACTACTGCTTGCTTTTGTGATACAGAATTTCTGTGCTTTATAGAACAAGTAGATTCTTTGGAACAAGATGAGATGTTGTAACTAAAATTCTTTAGAACGTTAGTGATGGAAAAATCCTAGACCAAATGTTCAAAACAGTGTTTAATTTTGATCTGCTAATCCCCTGTAGTGTTTGTCATTGATAAAAGAATTTGCCGTCATAAGTAAAACCTTCAGATCTGATTAAGGTGACTTAGTTTAAGTTCAAATATAAAATAATAATTTGCTCTTTTGGTACAGAGGGGCATTAATAGTTTTCACATCTTTCTCTAACCAGGAAGTGTTTGAAAAGGAACAGTCTATATGTGCAGCGGAAGAGCAACCAACGGAAGAAGGGGTAAGTGAAAAATGAATGTTCCTAGTGCTAGCTAAAGAGAACTTTCAGATCTTGCGTTGTTAATTGTGTGTTTCTCAAGCATTTTTTTCCCCATAAATGCTTCCTGAAGTGTCTCTTGAGCTACGCTTTCTAACTTTAGCTCTCAGCTTAAAATGCTTAAAGTACAGTGAATGCCTGAAATTTAATGAACAGAATAAATGTTTTAAATACTGCTTTCCTACAGCAAGGAGATGTCAACAAAGTTAAGAGCAAAGGATGGCAGCAAAAGAATAAAGGAACCAAGAAAGCTTCAAAATCAAAGAAAAAGAAGCCGTTGAAAAAGAAACCTGTGCCACCTTCATTGCCGCCACCAAAACAGCAGAAGCAAAAACAAGCTAATGGGGTAGCTCATAGATTAATTGATATTTTAGTATTTTGTACAGCTTATCATTCTTAATCTGATGGGGGTTTTTATCTGTCTTGTTACATCTGATTCTACACTTTTGTAAAGCATACTTCCTAAAATAGCATTTTTTTTTCCTTGATGTTTAAAAATGACTGGTAAAATAATCAGGGAACCACCACAGTAATGTGTCCAGGGGCCTGTTGAAAGTTGTGCCCAACTGCTTTAGAAGTCTGGCTTCATAGTCCCTTCTTATTAGTTCTGGTTATGCTGCTTTTTGGGAGGTTCAGTACCTTCTACTTGTACTTTAAAGGAAAAAACTGAAATGAGACTTTATTTTGGTAAGTTAAGTAGCTTTAGTACCTTTATGCTCCCATTGCATGGTGTTTTCTCCACCGCATGGGCCATATTGTAGGTACTTCCTCATATTCTCTCTAATTCTCTTATGACTTTTTGAAATGTGATCCCAGAATCAAATGCTGTTTTCTCCTATTTGTGTTGTGGATGCCATATGGAGAAGGAAAATTGCTTCCTGGCTTCTCTTAGCACATGAAGTGATCATGAAGCACGTGAAGTAATCTTCACTGTAGACATGCTCTGTGAAACTAGAAGTGTAGATCAAAATAGGAAATAAGGGCTATGACCTTAAGACGAGTGCTGTGAATGCTGCGTACTACAATAATGCAGACAAACTAAGTTAAAGGTATTTGTTTTGTTTTGTTTTTTCCTCTTTCTTTTCCATTAGGAAGTAGTTGTGAAGGAAGAGGAGGAGGAGATCTCTGATAAAGGAAGTGAATCTGAAGAAGAAGAAACAAACAGGGACTCTCAAAGTGAAAAAGATGATGGAAGTGACAGAGACTCTGACAGAGAACAAGATGAGAAGCAGAACAAAGATGATGAAGCTGTAAGCTTTACTTTTTCTGAAGGGTAATGTTGCCTCTGAGGTTGAGAGAAAATGCATTTTAATCCTCTAGCATCCCCTCAGGCTAGGCAACACTAGGATGAAGGAGTAATATCAGTTCTCCAGAGGTTTTCAGACCTCATTCTGGCATAAGAGCTTTGTCATTACAAGTCTGTTTCACAGAGAGCAGTGAAGGGTCTTTGCAGCATAGACAGAAAACTTAAGAATGACATGAGAAAAACAGCTTAACTTCAGGAAAAGATTGTAATGTTTCTTTCAGCTTAATTTGATTACTAGCTACTGCAGATTTTGTGAGATAATATCTCTCCTTTGAACTTTGTTCTTTACGTGCAGTGGCTGTTGCATACCGCGTAATGCATACTGTAAGCATGCAGTAGTTGAATGAACTTGTATATGTGCTTACTAAATTCTAGTAATTGTTAATAATTTAGTTGTTCGAAACTGTAATTGTAATTGAGAATGAGGCATTGTGGTGGTAGGTGATTTCTGCACCACAGGTCTTGCAGCTGTCACTCAAGTCTTCCACTGTAAGTCCTGTAGAGGGTGAGAATAAGCTTTTGATGGGAAAAGAATCATCAAGCTTGTAATCAGGGCTTTTACACCTTAGGTAGGGAGTGTTAATAGGCAGTGCTGTAGAAGTGACTTTTGAAGAATGTGTGCAAGCCCTGCAGATCTGTATTTTGGGGTTTGGGGGGGTTTGTTTACATGAGTGGTCTCTTCAGTTTTATTGTGGCTTTTTTTTTTCTTTTAATCATAGTGTATAACCTAATCTCTGCATGCCTTTCCCTCTTATAATCTGTAGTGTAGCACAAGAACTAGCCATATGTATCATTTCCATGGGCTAAAATTTTTTTTTTTTTTTTTTTTTAATGCAAAAGATGGCTAGTGCACAGTAACTCTTTAAACTTGTCTTTCACAGGAGTGGCAAGAGTTACAGCAGAGTATACAGAGAAAGGAACGAGCTCTTCTTGAAACGAAGTCAAAGATAACGCATCCCGTTTACAGTCTTTTTTTTCCTGAGGTCAGTAATAGAAAACATTACAGTCGTGAAACATGAGAATTAATATAATACAAATTAATTGCTCTTTTTATATCCTTACTGTAAACATTAGGCTTTTTTAAAAGTCTAATACTTTGAAAAAATTGCTAATCTTAATTTAAACAAAGTGTTAATTTATAAAGTCCTCTTAAACTCCTTCAGATACTTTCCTAAAAACTTCTAATGTATTATTCTGTCTATCCAGTTCCCAGATACTTGTGAACTTGTGTAGAATTTAAAGTTCAAAAAAAAAAGCCAATTGTGGAAGAATCTTTCCAACAGAGCTCAAAAATACGAGATCAGGTGTGGATGAATATCAGAGAAAGGGATGTATTTGAGAGTGGTGACTCAGTACAGTAGATAGGCTGAGGTGTCTTTACAGCAGCCTTTGGCGTTGAAAATATGTTCCGATATATCAGTTGTTACCGATGCAAACAGCTAACACAGTAGGTGTCTGAAAACCCATTACAGCAATGAAACCTTGAAAAAGATGGGATTTTTCAAAGCTTTTGTGTTCTGAGCAAGTAAGTTAGGTCGTTTGGGAGGCGACTAGATTGGAACCAGGACGAAGGAGTATTTGGCCACACTTTCTTTCGAGGCCAGTAGTTCAGAGGGCTTCCTTTGCTTCCCTGCTGTCTGACTAGGGAACTAATCTAGGATCTCTTCTCTCTTGTCATGCTATCTCCAATAGCATGTAGGTGGGGTGTAAGGCTTATGCTTCCTCTTGTGTTTTAAAGGAGACAACTGACATGGGGAAAAACAGGAAAACATGAGAAAAAAAGGAAGACACTGTGTACATTTGCTCCCTCTTTTCAGTCCTCAGGGCTCTTTATGTCTATACCCTGTATGCTTACTGCATGTGCAAAACATACTCTGTGGTACCCATGCTTGTGCTCATGTGGTTCCTGCTGTTTTCATATAGTTCTGCCATCACTGGAAAGCAAAGTGTGGGAAGCCAGACCTATTGCTAAGGAGCCAGACAAGATATACAAATAAACCAAAGAAATTGTTTTCCCGAAGGCCTTAGCTGGCAGTTGTGTGCCCTCACGACATCTAGTTTTGTAACGGCTGATCTTAATACTGTATTTTCCTGACACTCTTAAGTACCCTCCCATCTCTCTATACAGCTTCTGGCAGTACTGCTCTTCTGGCTGCCTTAGATCATGTCAAATATGCAGCAGAGTCTTAATACCTCCTTACTGTGAAGGCAGCTGGCTTTGGTCATCAGTCTAAGCTCAAACAGCAAGTATGTGCTATGCCCAGTGCCACTGGGCGCTAACTATTTGTATTTTTGCATTTCTTTTCTTACTGCACTGAGGGTTCCTTTGGAGACTTCGCTTACACTTACTCTGTACAGAGCTGCTTAAGCTTTAGCTGTGTGTAACCAAGCTGCTGATGGTTTTTATGATAAAACCTAAATACAGGACTATGCTAAAAAAAAAAAAAGTAGGGCTGAAAATGCTTGAACTTGAAAGATACACATGTATTATCTCATGGTACTGCAGTTGTAAATTTTCCAACCTCTCTCAACTGATTTCCTGATAGTTGACTGCAGCTGTATTTAGTGCTGTAGCTGCCGTTGGAGCATGTTCAGATAGAGTTGATTTGCAACATCTGAAGAACAAAATCCATCATACTCTCTGGGTGGTTGTTTCATCTTGTGATTTAGAGCATTATGTGTGTTGTGGTCATGGCCAGTTCCGAGATGCAGAGTTAAGGTTGAAATGCTGTAGTTGTGTGAATCTCTGTATTTCCAGAATTTACAGATAATTGAGTGTAGCTGAGCCTAATATACTTGTTTTCAGGTGGTAACCTTAACACTGTTTCATCTAAGTTTTTGGGCAGTTGATTACTCTGCCAGTGATGCATCTTTAATCTGTGCAGGTTCCTAAATAATTATCTTCTGCCTCTGCATCCGTGGATCCAGAAACTGCACAGATTGTAGTTTTGACATTTTTAGGTAGAAACTGGCCCTGGTGTTCCAATTTAATGAACATACTGGTTTCCTGGCATGCCAAACCTTGCACCCATCTGTTAAAGGGCGTTTTGCCCATTTGCATGTTAGCTTGCCAGATTCTCACAGGCATAAACTTTAAATTCCACCCAATAAGAGAGAGGAAAATGACACTCCTGCACAGTTGTCCTTTCTATAAAAAAAGCAGTGGTACTTCGGGGTCAGGAGCTTTACTTCCGAAGAGTTTACTCTATATGAGCATTAGATCAATGAACATCATTTGTTCTGGTATTTCTTTTCCCCCCTTGGTTGTTATTTTTACCATTTTTTGTGAAAATCCAGTTGGTAGTTTTGATCTTTGTTCTAAAAAAAAATAAAAAATTATTCCTTGCCATTGAGAGTGATGGAAACATACACAATGTATAGTAAGTCAGCCCAGTGTTTTGGTGACATCAGAAAATAATGTATTGATACAAATGCAGGTCATTTTTCTATGGTCAGAGTCCTTGTAGGGCCCAAATGGCGAGTAGCCATTTCTGTAACGGATCTAGCTTCTGTAGTTCTTGTTCATCTGTACTATTTATGCTGTTTATCCTCCTATTCCTAGAGGCCCCTTGGCTAGGAAATAAACACTTCAACTGTGTAAGATTCTTCTTTGCTACAGCTGTCAAGGAGATTGACAGTATATTTATTGTTGAAACTTACAGATAAAATAACTTATGCCTTGTAATCACATGGGACAGCTTTTCATAAAGAAAATAACTTAGAATAGTTGTAGAAAGGTCGTCTTATAATTCTATGATTTCTGGTTATATTCATATAGTATATGAATAGGTTTTTGTCCTGTTCTCAGTGCCAGTTCTAAACAGGTGAAGGAATTGCTGTTGCTTTACTGTGATGCAGTTGTTTTTGCTTTTATACGCTGTAAAATGGGCATTAACGTATTGAGTTAATTTTACACTCCTCTGCTCTGGGACTCAGCAGTGCTAATCAGGGTGTTTCGGTTGCTGGTGTGAGAGTCTTGCTGTTGTAAATCTATAGTTTGCTAGTTGAATATTTCAGTGAGATGGTGATAATTATTACTAGTGTAACAATTAGTCGCTCCAAAAGAGAAAAGGAGTTAATTTAGCTTTTGTAATTTTTCAACCTGTATTATTTAAGCTTCAGATCACCAAACATTGGCTTCTGAAGTGTTTCAAAAACAAACAAAAAAACCCCACAAACCCACACCAAAACTACTGAACTCTTGACTCTTTCAGTAGAGACAAAATTCTTCAAATTCTCCATATTAACATCATTTGCTTCCCACCTGTGGAATTTGGAAGGGGCTCAGAGGTGGTGTTAAAGTCCTCTATATCTTTTCATTCAGTCCCTCTAATGCTGTTAGATTAAAACCAAAACAACCACTTTCATGCCGCACTGAACAACTCCCTGGTTGTTGTTGGTGTAATTATATAAAACTTGGCCTCCTGGTTTGACGTGTGACTTGTAACTGTCATAAGATGCACTCTTAGGGCGTTTTATAAACGTGATCAGTTACCAGACCATCAGGGGTGGGTAAAAATGGTTTTGGAACACAGTTCAGGAGTCCTATATTTGGGTTGTCTAAAGGGTGTGGGGTCGTCCTCTTTTTTCCACTAAGGGTAACACTATGCTGTTATGACTATTACCTATCCACTAAAATATTTCTTCATAAATATGAAGTCGTGTCCCCCCATCCCCTCCCCGCTATTCTCACTTTTTTTAAGGAAAGACTTAGAGGTGAAGGAAGGGAAACTTGCTTGGCAGTACTAAACTAACCTCTTTGCAATAGAAAGGTTGTGTTGAAGTGGATTTTGCCAAAAATGTGTGCCAGAGAGTTAACCAAAGTGGAGTAGTGGTTAAATGAAGAACAGTTGATGCTGAGGAGCTATAGTCTTTCGCATTTGAGAATGGTTGTGCCTGTGCTGCTGAACTGCACCACGGTCTTAAAAATCTGACTCAAATTGAGTTACTTTTGTACAGTGTTGCTGTCTTTTATGAAGGACTGCACTCATTTAATTTCATTTAGTTTGGGAACTCTGCTTTACTGCCTGCAGTGGCAAGACCTTTGAGACCTGCAGCTGTTTTGAAAGCTGTGTGTGGTAGGCAGCAGTTGTTGGGTATCCTTTTCAAATTTCAATATTGCTTGCAGTTCATACTTCCTTGAAGTAAAATCTGGGTCCAAATTCCAACTTTCAGCAGATTCCCACTTTCTGGAGAGGGGGGAGAGGAAGTGGGGCAAAGCATACTTTCCTGAAAAGGATTGTTTACTGGGAAGAATATCTGTCTTTTGGCATGTCTTGCTTTATATGCTGACTTTTTTTATCCAGACTGGATTTCTGCGGAAGGACCTAAGGTAGTGTTGTGTTGCATGAAGTTGTTTGTTAATCCTCAGTGGACGCAATTCTTCAGACCAGTTCCATGTCTCACGTGGTAGCTTAGGCTGAATGTACAGAATGAAGCCTTTGGAAACCAGCAGTTACCTGTGATAACCTGTTTGCTTGCAATGTGCAGTATGTACTATATATTTAATTCATGCACATCCAAGAGTTTTAAACACCAAACACAAACCATTGCCTTTCTATCTGTATTATAAGGACCAGTGAATCATAATTACATCTTACAAAGTATAGGGGCATCACTTTATATGACTTTAACAATCTTTTTGTTTTGTTTTTGCCTTTTTTTTTTCTTTTATGAAAGGAAAAACAAGAATGGTGGTGGCTATATATTGCAGATCGGAAGGAGCAGATGCTAATATGTATGCCATATCATGTTTGTACACTAAAAGATAAGGAAGAGGTAAAGTACATGAAGAATTTTCTTTTGGGGTATTGGAAAACTATACTGATGTGTCTTATGGTATGCAAATACATTTAGATTTTAATTTTTTTCATACTTATATCTTAAGATGGCAAACAAATTTTACTCTCCTGATAAAAGTGGAGAAGAGCCTTTTAACTGTGAAAATTGAAAATAAAGAAAGAAAAAATAATTTAAGATGACTTTCAAGTTTCTTTGCAGAATGTTTTTTTCCCCCGATATCAAAAGCTGATGAAAACCAGTATTTGTACACAATGATCATTCTTAAAGATATTCAAATGTGTGAGAATTATTAAGTGTTCTTCTTCTTTAAAGCAGAGGCTGTAACAAATTAATTAGCCTCGGCTCATATGAACCTTTCTGAGACTGTAACCTTTGACTGTGTTCTTTGTTTTTCTGAAAAATGGAGATTTTTATGTATTTTGTTCTTTTAAACTAGATTTTATGTTCAATTTCAAACAACAGTAGAGTTAAGCTAATACTTTCAGCAGACTAAGTATTTTAACCCATTTGGGGTTTTGAGATTTAGAAAGCATACAACAGGGTGAAATTGTGTACTTAATGTAGAGTTACTTGGTCTAATTCAGAAAAAAATGCGACCCGATGATTATTCAGCTTTCATGGAAGGTATTGTGCTTGGGTATTCTGTCTCTTCTGCGGGTACTTTATTACGTAGAGATTTTCAAAGAAGCGTCACTTCTAAGAAACTGAAACTTTTTAAGGAAAAAAAGTATTATTCTGTAGTTATTGCTTGTTAGAGTACTCGGGTACTTGCTCTCGTGTGTCACTTGAAAGCACTAAGAGCGTGAATTCTGTTTTGTAGGTAGAGCTGAAGTTCCCAGCACCAGGCAAGCCTGGAAACTATCAGTACACAGTTTATTTAAGATCGGATTCATATATGGGATTGGACCAGATTAAACCATTGAAGGTGATGTGTAATTGTGTTATGTATTTGTATTATATTGAAAGCTACTTCATATGGCTATTGAAACCCCAAAAGTCCTGTTATCTTTAAGAATTCAAGCTGTCCTAATTTTCAGACAGTGGCAAGGAGGGGCTTATGTTATAAAGCAGTTTCTGCCTGATGCCAGTAGTGACAATTTTGTGATGGACTAAATGAGACTAAATTTTGTGATGCTTTCCAGCACCTGAATATTTTAATACATGTTTTCTCAAATTTATTCAATTCTGCAGTATGGTTGGCTCTGGCTTTATACCTTGAGATCTGCCATGCCATTTCCCTGCCCTTCGTCCTAGATACATCCAGTTAATGAGAAAAATCTGGCATGCCTTATTTCTGCAAGCAGTTGTTAATTTTGTTTTGGGGTTTTTGGTGGGTTTTTTGGTTTGGTTTTTTTTTTTTAACTATCAATTTTGTGTGATGGGTTGTTTTGCTGGGTTTTTTGGTTTCCCAACTTGATGTATATTGTCTTGTAACCCTTTCCCCCCCTTTTTTCTTTCTTTATGCAATTAAAGCTGGAAGTTCACGAAGCAAAACCGGTGCCAGAAAATCATCCACAATGGGATACAGCAATAGAAGGTGATGAGGACCAGGAAGACAGCGAGGGCTTTGAAGACAGTTTTGAGGAGGAAGAGGAAGAGGAGGAAGATGATGATTAAACAATATTGTTGATTGACTACAATATCTGTACACACTGCAAACTGTTGGTCTGACTGTGGAACTGTACAATAACCAAGAAACACAGTACAGAAGCTTTGAGAAGGCTGAGTTTAATTTTTCTTTACCAATTAAGAGTGCATTATGTTAACTTCTCAGTGGAGGTGAAACAAATCTGTTGCCATTGATACACCTTGGAATATGCTTATGGCTCATTATAGCCTTCAAGTGCAGGATGGTGCATTTGTTTCAATTGAAAATAAAAGCTTTTTTTATTATAAATGTCCGAAAGTGTGGGCTATGTATTGTCTGATCAGTATAGGGTCCAATTTAAATAAAAGGTACTGTTAGATAGGAGCAAACTTTAAATCAATTTTTCTGCATTAGGGATTTATTTTAGAAAACGTTTTGGTATATTTGACATTACAGATCTCTGTTGATTGAAACAACATCTGCTCAACTTTCAAACTTGATTGGTTCTGTGGTATTCATTAAATATTTTGCTGTGATACTGCTCCACGTCATTCATAGCTTTAAAAATCTGTTTTACTTAACTTGATCATTATAAATTGGCATCATACCCATTGCCACATTCCATATATTCTGGAGGGCTGCTTTTTTTAGGACTCTTGCCTTTTTATGCCCAAGATTATAATGGAAATCATAAACTTTCTTGACTCTGCTGTAGGATACTTATTAATGGCTTAAAACATTTTTAAGCCTCTATTTCATCAGATCAGCAAAAGATCTGAGCCTTTTGATAAGCAAAATGTCTAAAAGCAATTGTGGGACCACGTGTTAGTAAGTTGGTGGCTTTTGTGTAATACCTTTATAAAAGGTACATGCTGAAAGCCAGAGTATATTCTTAACTCTGAATCTACCTGACACTGTCGGAAACATTTTAAGGGTAAAATACAACATGCAAAGAGGGCATGTTTTGTATCAATTTTGAATTCCCATCAATAAACTGGACAATTTGATGGCTGTTTGCATTTGTGGTAATGTGGATCTCTTTGTCTGAGTTTTTTTACCTCAGTCTCCTGCAGGGCTATAAACAAGAGGATGATTCTATCCCTACTCCTGTTTTAAAAAAAAAAAAAAAAGTCTAGAGAAGAAATTCAGGGAGGAGAGAACCAGGGCTGTTAGTGTATTGTATGACTTGACAAAAGCCATGGATGGATCCTTTTCTTCCTCTCAATAAAACAAATGAAAGTGATTAGTTAACAGTTGTATTTCTATATTTCAGAAATACATACGAATGTTCTGCAAGTAGGAACAGATGTATTTCTGTTCCTATGTATTGAACTATGACAATGCAATGCTGGGAAGTGTGACAAATTGTCATGCAGGAAAATTTCCATCCTGTGAAAATTGCCCAAAGCCAGAATAGTTGCACACTAATTTGTGACCTTGTTTATTAGAAAGGGTTGTCACTTTAAACACAAATTTACATTGTTATATTCATTGTAATTGCAATAGTTGCAAATAAAATTTGAAAATTGTCTAAATGAGATTATGGTATCTTTCAAAGTACTTCTAAGTGCCTGTCGTGCAGGAAAAACTCTTGTAAAGCGTGCGCAGTGTCAGGTGTTCAAGCAAGAATGACAGCTAGGTTTAAATGAAGTGGCTTGTACACTTGATGCCTTTTAAGTCCAGTTTCTATTTGCACAATACAGTAGGGAAATAACAATAAAAAAAGCACTAGTTGCATTCCATAGGCTTTCGAGCCAGATACTGCGCTGATGATAGAAATACTTGAGGAAGAGTCATCCGACTCCTTAAATGAATGCTAAACTTAGATCGTTCTGCCAGAACAATTCATAGTGAACTTCTACGGTTGTTAAATGTTGGGAAGTGATTATAGGAGATATAATTGATAAGAGCATGGTGGGGGCGGGGGCAGTGCTCTGACTACTGATCCCTAAATGTTACTATTAAAAGTCAAGGTATATCCTTGCAACAGGTGAATGCATTGAACAGATTTTAAAAAAAGAAGGAATCACGTCCCTGGTCTGAACACTGAAGTATTTTCTTAAAGATTGAAGCTGACAGCTGGGATTACACTGAACGTCAGCAAACCAAGGATAACTCCATTGAGCTAACAAAGGCAAAATCTAATACTTCTTCAAATGTGGGTCTCCTGCAAAGCCAAGGTAACTTAATAGAAGATGTGAGGAAAAGAATTGCAGCGGTATTGGAAATCTTCATAATGCGAAGAAGGCATGTTGATAATTTTCTCTCCTAAAAATATCAACTATGTAGTCGTGCACCATTTTACACCTTCTGAGAGATGCGGAAATGGGGCTGAGGAGGTATTTAAGAGCTTCATGCAATTAAAACCACCAAGAGCAGATGCAGAACTCCTATGAGTGTTAATACATTATTGAACTGCTAGTTGGTCTGTTGTGTGGTGTGACTGTTCATAACCTTTTTTGGTTTTTTGTAGAACAATGTGAATTGTCATTCAGAGATTCAGTAACTGCCTCTTGAATAACAGTTACCAGGATGGGTAAAACTTGACAGGAAGAAACATCATTTTGTGTTCACTGTTGTACGTGCCTTGCTTTTTGATGGGATTTAGGAATTAATTCAACTGATTTTTATACCTAGCTCTTCTGAAACTCTGGAATAGTAACTGAAGAGTAAAGAGAGTTCAAGAAAGGAAATCTGATTTGCTGCTGCACCCTCTGTGCAATAGTGGCCCAAGCATCAGTTGGAAGCATCCAGTATCGTTTCAGTGTAAATAGATTTATTTCTGCCCTTCTGCTGTCACGTTCCTTTTCGTAGCTTCTTGTTCTAGATCAGAGCAGACACGTGCAGAGCCGGAGTGTCCACCTAAGCAGAGATGCTGTAAGTATCTTCAGGGCTTGTAGAAACCATTTCTAAGGGGGAAAAAAATTTGGGCTTGGCTAGAATAGGCATGAGGGTGACGTGGCGCAACTGGCCCTGCTTGTGTGCGGATACAGGGTGCTGTAACTTGCAATTAGTAGAGGGAAGCACCGGGAATTAGATTTAGGGCAGATAAACACAGCTTGTTGAAATATGGGATAAACTTGAAGTAGGTAAAAGGAACAAGTTATAAAAATGGGATTTTTTTTGTTTGTTTGTTTGTGTAAAACGGTTTAACCTTCCTCCTGCCAAAAATGTTGACAGCGGTTGATTAATATTAAAGGAAACTTCACTTTTTTCCCTAGCCTGATGCTGGGTGACGAGAAAGTGACACTTGGGGCGAAAAAACCCCGGATCAACCCTTTCTGAAAGGGGAACGTGAGTAGGAAACGGCTCGGGGCGCGGAGGGGG